GTTCTATAAATGGACAAATAATATATTCCCCAATTATCCCCAATTGGGGGATACTTTTGAGTACAAAGTACAGGTAAGTTTATTCAGATGTGTCTATGTACCTAAAAAAAAGCGTATGATATTGATTAGCTATTATTTGATAATAGACTGAGGCTGCTGCTCTTTGGAGGAATAAAGCATAGAGGAATAAAATAATCCATATGCCAGGGAAGTTTTCAAAAATATCTTCAGTTCAGTTTTGTGTTTGCATGTTGCAAGGACAAAAAAATATGTCCTTCGGGAAGATCTTTATGATTTTGGTCGGAATGTGTTATCAGGAGCAAGAAAAAGCAAACTCCAGAGTTGAATAGCTCTTGCTTCCTCAACAGTTAATTCTAGAATTAACTAGAATTTTGCTACAAGCAATCTTCATAGTGACTTCCCTAATGTTTAAGCATGCCTGGGCTTTATTTTACTTTGGTATTGTTTAATACATAAACGTTTCTACTTATGATGTTGTAAGAAATACTCTGCTGTGTCCAGACAAAGCATACTTTCACAGGATACCACCAAAACCATTTATAAACTCTTGGCATTTAAAGTTTGGATGGAAACACAGATCTGAACTGCCCAACTGTTTATACAGTACTCACTAGTAATCAAAATACTTTCTCTGGCTGAAGGTATCCTCCTTCAAATGGACTTCACTGTGACACATCAGTATACAGCACTCATACAACAGTATTGTAATTTTTACTCATATGGAGTGACCCATTGTATCTCTGCATTTACATCTCAGCCTGTATATATGCAACCTGCTGGTCATGAGGAAGATAATTAAAGAAAGTGACGCACTAAAAAATTAAATGCCTATGTTGATGAAATATCTTTGTGCCTAGTACAAAAGGGACCAATTCTGGTCATGTACAATGAGTAGAAAAATCAGCTTGCTGAGGACAACTTAAGGCTTGGGTGAACGCTCCTAGAAGTGACCCAGCGAATAATGAATATACCGGAATTAGAGAATAACTGACCTCTGCTTTATAAATCCTTTATAAATCTCTAAGTTTAATGTCCATGTCACACAACAACTCAGGAGTATAGGAGAGGTGATAGAGTGCTCACACCATTGAGATAGAATCATAGAAGATTTTTGGGTTGGAAGGAACTTTAAATCATCTAGTTATAACACCCTTGACATGTGGAACACCTTCCACTACACCAGGTTGAGGAACACCACTTGTTACTGATCATTGGATTTTGAGCCATTGACAACTCTTTGAAAGTGACCATCCACCCAATGAGTGGTCCATCCAAAAAATCCATTTCTCTCCAATTTAGAGACAGGAATGTAATGGTGGACAGTGTCAAATGCTTTATACAGGTACAGGTAGATGATGTCAGTTGCTCTTCCACTATCCACCAATGCTGTAACCACATTGTAGGCCACCAGATTTGTCAGGCATGATCTACCCTTAGTGAAGCCATGCTGACCGTTACTAACCACCTCCTTATTTTCTATGTGCCTTAGAAAAGTTTCCAGAAGGATCTTCTCCATGATCATGCCAGACACAGAGGTGAGACTGACTGGTCTGTAGTTCCCTGTGTCTTTCTTTTTTCCCTTTCTAAATACGGCAGCAATGTTTCCTCTCTTCCAGTCAGTAGGAAGATGGCAGTCACCAGACTGCCATGACTTCTCAAATATGATGGAGAGTGGCTTATCAACTACATCTGCCAATTCCCTCAGTACCTGTGGATATATCTCATCAGGTCCCACTGGACTTGTGCACCCTCAGGTTCCTTCGATGGTTTCAGATCTGATCTTCTCCTACAGTTGGCAGTTCATTGTTCTCTCAGTCCCTTCCTTTGGCTTCTGAGGTCCAGGCTATGTGAGTCCCAAGCTGATGCAAACAGATATATCTCCCTTCTATGGGTATTTTAAACAAGATATCCTGTTTTTTATTTCATCTTATTTTTCTGACCCAAGCGTGCATAAGAAACCCCTCTGATTATCACCAGTAGGTGATGGTTATGTTAGTACTGACTACATTTGACTATATTTGATTGTTGGTAATACACCACAGTGTCAAAACACATAACAAGAACAGGAAAAACAAGCTAAACTATGTAGTGGTAGCCTGTGGGAAGCAATGGAAGCAGCAGGTTTGATATAAACCCAGATCCAACTGAAAGTGATTTATAGTTCCCTGAAGTATACTGCAGGAGGTGTAAGTCAGCCTGACCAATTAGTCTTCCCTCAAAATCTACCATAAATGTGTTTACATGATGGCAAAAGCCTCTAATTTTTTCTGAATTACAGTTGGGAAAAAACAAAGGGGGAGGGAGAGTAGGGAAAGAGAGGAGGGGGAAGAAGATAGAAAAGGAAATGTAATAATCACACCCAACAGGAACATTCCAATGACTTCCATGGGAAAGCACACTGGAAAGTAGTTTTGGAAACATGACAGAGGGATATGAAGGGACTTCAGGCATATAGGCCATATCTACCATCTGCTAGATTTTCCATTTTTACAGGGCTTGAAAAAGGCACTCGCCCACTTGCAGTAATGAGTGAGAAAGTCTCTGAAGAGTGCAGGAAGCAGCAGAGTGAACTTTACAAGACTGTGACTATTTCCTTGAAATGTTCAGAGGCTACTCTGAAGACAGCTCAAGTTTAGGTTGGTAGAAGAGACTTCCCACCACTCTAAGTATGAATTTCATGTTACTAGTAGAAAAGTGACTGTGCAAATAAGCCAACAGATGGAGCTTAAGTAAGAGTACTTTTCATTCTTTTTTCTGGAGCGTCTGGTCCTAAGTGATTTAATGACAGGACACTAGAATTACTGGGTCACTACTCTGATTTATTTCAGCAGTCACGTTAATCCAAGCAGTTTGAAGACTTATTAATATGACAGTCACTGTGATAGCAACTGTGTTCAGGTTCTGAGTGAGCCAGCAGCAAACTAAATGTTTCTAGAGACACAGGTTAAGTTGAATCCCATCGGTGTAAAAAGGTAATAGGATAAAAGCACTTTTCTCTTGCTTTTAATAAATCTGAAAAACTCCTGCAATATTGGTCACGCACCCTAAGCCAGAATTTAGTGAGAAAATTGTACCATTTGAAGAGAGAAAAAGATATACACCATTTTCTTCCCCAACTAATTTTTATTCGGGCACTGAGTAAACAGTGCCAAACAAGAACTGTGTGATACCTTCCCTATAATAATAGTACAGAGGGGGAGGGAAAGCATAGGGGCCAAAAGAGGTTTCTCATAGAACTGGTAATCTGTAATGCAGATTACCAGTTAAGAATACTAATTTTCTTTGATCTTTCCATTAAGGATCAGTTGACAGTCAGTTGGCTGACTATATTTAAACTATACAGACTGTGCTCTCCAAGTATGTATGATCTTTTCAGCCACAGTCAGGCACATGATTTGAACAGTGAATGTAACTAACCATTGGAAAATGGGAGATGGAGCTGATTTTCCATCACATGAAATTCTCCCATTAGTGTAGTCAGTATTTCCCCTGCCTCCTCCTCTGTTAAAAAATAAAAATAAAAAAAAATAATAATAAAAAAAAAAAGATGCAGGTTTTGATGCAGAATAATCCTTTGGTGAAATATTCTGTCTTTTGTAAGATCTTAATGGTTCTTCTGGTCTTGCAGTCCAAGCCCTGTCTTGCACACTGAATTACTTACTAAAAGGTACGTTGAGGTCTACCAAGCTGTATAAGAAGTGCCTCTCATACTCTTGTGTCCCATTTTATGGCCAATTATTTGGTACATGTATTAAAACTGAAAAGGACAGGTGCATAGTCAGTCCAAAAGGAATACATCAAAATAGAATGGTTGGAAATTCACCAAAATTTTATGAAACACACACAGCTTTCATAAATATTCAGAAAAGCGTGAATTTTGACCCCTGCAAGACTTGAACTCATCAGCGTTGTTGGTTCTTCCTATGTACTTCATCCATATTGAAGAGAAATGGGAAATTGCACAATCCCACCATGTTGTTCAATAAGTAGAAATATTGTCATTCTCTACCAGTCTTCAAGTAAAGTTTCTTATTCTATGTTCTCCTGACTCTAAGAATGGTTCTTACAATTCTTAAAAACAAAAGTAATGCAATGTCATCACGCTGAATTAATTTCTATGTCCTCTGCAATTTAAATGGCTGAACCACATCCAGTACACTGGCTAGGAAAAGTCACTCCTTAGCGAACCTGCCAAGTCTCAGTCCTATGCATTTATCTGTTATGAAGACAGAGGCATCTATAGACACTGATTTTTTTTTTCCAGTGTATGCACACAGACAATTTTACTATAGAGTGACTAATATCTCTGGATCATTAAAATATTTTTCAGTCAGTATATTTATAACTATAACTAAATTTCTGCATTAAATTATATTGAGTTGCTCCAGAAAGCAGCCTAGCAGTTTCATGACAGACAGAAATAAAAGGCAATGAAATTATGCTGATTTTTAAACATAATTTTCCAGTAGTTTAAGAAGAATAAGTTTTTCATTTAAAAAAGCCAGCAGGATCAGCAGGCAACTAAGTTCTGTTTTAGTTGAAAATCAGTGGGAGGGAATATAAAGCCTTTTTTTTTTTTTTTTTTTTTTTGTAAACGGAACTGGAGCAGCAGCAAAGCTAACAAGTTGTAATCAGCCAAGATTTTTTTTAACATATCGCAAAAGAGGTACTTTTTAAAAATCCATAGCGCCCTAGTGCAATACTACATAGCACATTTGCTTCAAGTAGTTATTCTTGCAGTAGAAAGTATAAAGAAATAAATATCTCAGGGAAGATAGAAAATAGGATTGTTATAGCCATATGCAAGTATAATTTAGGTTGTTAGCTTATATTTGTAAAACCTTTAATAACCAACTACCTTATGGCGTACTCCTTCCAAAATTTAAAATAAAATAAAATAAAATTAAATTAAATTAAATTAAATTAAATAAAATAAAATAAAATAAAATATATCCTTCTGATGATATGTAAATACTCACCAGCCTAACGTCAGGAAAACAACCAAAAATCCTTCCAGCTCTCAGCTCAGCATTTCTCAGTAGAGTGGAAGTAGTGAAGTGAACTTTTCAGCTTACTACAAAGGTTAAAAAAACAGATCAATGGTAAACCAACTGTAAGAGAGAGCTCTGGAGAAATCATTACTAAAGATTGTCCTCCTAACCTCCCTTTCACAAATGCCTCCACTGACTTTACTGGGCTTTGGATTACACCCAGAGTGATTTGTTTCCCATTGCTCTGTTAGCTGAAGAGACAAAATCTCTCAAACAGGCAAATCCTTGGTCACTAGGACTCTGAGGACTAATGCCAGTAGAGTAAACTATCCAGAAATTTGCTGTCTGCCAGGACACATCCAATGAATAGCTACGTTCAAGCAGATAGCAAAATTTTGTGCTGAACATTTGGTTCAATTTCCAAATGGTTTCAAGGGCCTACAGAACTTTATATTTTAAAGGAATTAGAAGCTACACTAACAAGCATCAGAAACTGAAAGAGTGGTTGTCATAGAGTAAGGCTTCAGGCTTTGCTGTTTGCCGGACTGTACAATCTTTGTAAAGACTTGGATTTTTATATGCTGTTTAAAAGGTTAACAAATCTGCTATGCTATAAATGAACACCTCTCCTGAAAAGACTTTGTCCCTTTCTATCACAACAATTTTAAAGTAATACATATATATATGTAAAACATCAGTATAAGGGGAAAGTTACATATACGGTCACAAAACAAATGGCTAGATATTTCTATGTGTATTTAAAATATATATTGGATGAAAACAAATTGTAGGATGAAACCTTTTCCTAACAGAGGAAGGTAAGAACCAGGAAAAATGAAAAGCCTTCATTGATATTTTATCAGTAAAATTAAAGGGCTAAAAAAACACAAATAAGTTACAAGATAATGAATAATTGTTTCAGTCTCTTTTATAAATCCCTTGGAAAACCTATTTATAAGGTTTAACTTTGGGTTATATTTCATATTACTTACAGCAGTATCCATGGTACAAAAGTGGGAGGTTCCTGAAAGATGCCCTGATTTGCATACAGCAGCATGATACGAACACACTAAATGGTTGTCACATTCTGCTTCATTCCATTATTGGCAGTACTATGATATCACTGGTCAGATTCTGATCAAGACCAGAGTTTTAGCATCTCTGTCTCCTTCTGGAAAAACTGACCATCTTCTTGCACAACCTTCACATATCCAAAACTATTTGATCTAGATTATGCATTTCTGTTCAGGTCCTTCTGACCACACTTTTTGCTCTGTTCCCAAATTTGTCTGTGCTGAAATATGACCTGGCTTTTTGGGGCATCACCTGTACAGTTTAGAACACAATTTCTTTCATAGGAAAAGCAAGATTATCAAAGATATCTATTGTTAAGTTTCAGTCACAGAGAGGTCAAGAAGCAGACAGATGACCTCCAGATTTTGATGTTTAATTGACTGCAGCTGTTCTATAGTCTGGAGAATAATTGGCATGTAAAAGAGCATTAAACTATGGGTACTCTGACTCCCTCACCCTGACAATAGCATTTCACATCATTAAGGTGGAAGAATGACCTGCATGGCTGACCAAACCAAACCTCAGGTCACTTTAATAATTAAAAAGACAGGTAAGATCAATAACAGCAAACTGTAGCACTTCATAACACAATAGCTGGTAACATGTAGCATAAGTGGCAGTAATAACCCCATATTTATTAAGGGTTGGTGAGATTAGGAAGAACAAGAAAAAACAGAGTGAAGTGCAATTGCACACATTTGTTTTCCAGTCATCAATATTTAGCTTGTTATGGAATTTCAGTGACTCATTGATTGAATGTGTAGATGTGTAATCAGCACACAGATTTTATTTAAACATTGATCTTTCAGTCAAAAGCCCCATAGCCCATCTCCCTGAGAATTTCTGGCTTGTAAAGGCAAGGCAAGAAGTGCCATAACTACCGATAGACTGTGCTCTTTTCTATTCTGCTCACAGGTAATGATTACTCCACAGACATTGAGACTTCTTGCCAAGCAATGTATTGCCAGGATATCCAAAAGCAAAATGGGAATCTAGTACTCAAGTGGCAATAGTAGGTATGCCTCTACTTCTGAAAAACAAAACAAACAAACAAAAAAAAAAACAGTTCAAAACACAAAACCTTTTTCAGATTATTAACTACTGGACCTTTATTAGCTGTGAACCGCTTTTCTACTTCAAGTGTCATGCAGTCACCTGATCATGGACACAGTGATGTGTTCATAAAAAACTTACCAAAAATCAACTGGTCTTTCTTGATAATGCAAAAAATGTAGTCATCCTAATAGAATGGAAGGCATCTCTTATGACATAATTGGGTTTAAAAATAAATCCAAATTTAAAATCTCTTAAGGAAGTTTTTTTTAATTTTAAAATGAAATAACTTATAAGTAATAAAAATGACTATACTGAAAATGTTTAGAAGATAGAAGATATTAAAAAATTTCTTCTTTTAAAATGTATTATAAATATCTTCTTCTAAAAAACAGAAGATATTAAAAGAGCAAACACAAATTTTAAATTCCTGACATTTGGCTCTTCAACGTATACATCCACTGGTTATGCATACCATTTCATCCACAACATTTGGCATAGATTCCACTACTGTGGTTATTCTGATTTAAACCATCTTCTCTCCTGTGCTTGTAGAAGGTAAGTCAGAATTGCTCTCAGCAATGCCAAGAAAGTAGAGTCACTAGGAGGGCCAGGAACCTGCTTGTTTTCGGCAAAGAATTCCACCTGTTACCCTGATCTTATATTCTGTGTTTAGCCTGCTGGAGTTGTCATGACAATAACCTCTTGCCATCAATTTAACCTTGGTTTTAAGTTGCTTGTTGTTGAGCAAAAAAAAAAAAAAAAAAAATCATTGTAGGCCTGTAAATGATACCCCTCAAACTTTAGCCTTTGTTGGCTGACAGACCTCTTGAAACACAGAACGCAGCAAAACTGCATCAAGATTAGAGAGCTGAAGTGGTGATAACTTTCAGCCTTATTATCTTAATAAACTTTCTGTACTTGATTAGGCTGGATAAAGAAGATATAGATCAGTCATGATAGCTGGAAAACTACAGATAAGCTGGTCATCCTTTCAAGATAAAAATGCCCATCTGTTCTAAGATTGTAATCAAGAACCCTGTGCTGATATTTAGTCTATTCTTACATGGCCTCTAGCTAATTAAATACTAAGATGAAATCCACTGTTAATGCTTTTTCTTTTCATTTAACTCACTTTATTGTATCTCGTCCCTGCCCTGAAAATATCACAGCATACTAAAAACCTTATGGAAGGTTACAAAAGCCACTTACACCTCATCGTCTCATACAGTGGAAGGGCTAAGGCATAGCAAGGTTTATAACTCACCGTTCTTCAGTGAGAACAAGAAATATGTCCGTACTGCAAATCCAAATTCAGGGGAATTCATACTTCAGAGGGTTGTATCTAACGTACAAAATTTTATCTTTTTTTTATTTTTTTTTTCCAGTACTGCTCTTAATATTCCCAATGTGGATTCTTTTCTGTTTTACTTTGTAGGGCTTTGCTTTAGAAATATAGGGGTTGGAGGTTTTGTTTGTTTATTTGCAAAGTTGTAAAAGACAGATTAGCATTACATTACTCATCCAGGAGTGCGAATGAATAAGAGTTAGGACTGAAAAGGACTAGGTGTGGAGGTGATTCTCTGCCAACCTTCTCAACGTTGCACAGATATATTTGAACGGATTATGGAAAAGGACCATAATCCAACCTTTCCTGAGGTTGCTGGTAGTACAGTATTGCTGACCCTCAGTTCTTCTGTCACAGGGTTACTTCTGAATACAGCTGGATATATAATTATTTCCCTGTTATTCTCTTAGAATACAAATTGTATAAATTTTATAATTGATTATCTAAAGTGACTTCTAAACTTGAAGCACACAAAGCTGTTTATAGTCTATGTACCTGTGGTGGTTTTATTCATCTGGGCAGCAGAGCTCCACAACTGCTCTCTCACTCCCCCTCCTCAAAGGGAAAGAGGAAGAAAATACAATAAAAAGCGCTCAAGAGCTGAGATAAGGACAGGGAGATCACTCAACAACAACCATCAAGGTCAAAACAGACTCAGCATTGGGAGATTATTGTCATTTATTGTCTATTAATAACAAGCTAAAACTGTGAGAAACTAAAAGCAAACTAAAAACACCTCTTTCCCCCACCCCCCCCATCCATCCTCTTCCACCTCCTTCCCCGAGCAGTGCTGGAGATCAGAGAATGGGGGCTGCGGTTATTCCCTAATGCTTCATCTCCGCTGCTCCTTCAGGGTCACTCTCAGCCACTGTTCCATGTGGGGTCCCTCCCATGGAATGCCATCCTTCCCAAACTGATCCTGCAGGGGCTACCCACAGGCAGCAGCTCCTCAAGAACTGCTCCCACATGGCTCCGCACCATGGGGTCCATCCCCCAGGAGCAAACTGCTCCAGCACAGGTTCCACACAGGCAGCAGCTCCCCCCAGACCCCCTGCTCCTGCGTGGGCTCCTCTCCACGGGCTGCAGCTCCGGCCTGGGGCCTGCTCCTGCGGGGGCTCTCCATGGGCCACAGCCTCCTCCAGGCCACATGCACCTGCTCCACCAGGGGCTCCTCCACGGGCTGCAGCATGGAGATCGGCTCCGTGTGGGACCCATAGGCTGCAGGGGAACAGCCTGCTCCATCAGGGGCCTTTCTTTGGGCCGCAGAGGAACTTGTGCGGCATGACTACAGCACCTCCTGCCCTCTTTTTGCACTGACCTTGGGGTCTGCGAGGCTGGTTCTCACTCCTCTCTCTCCCAGCGCTGTTGTGCAGAAGTTTTTGTTTTGTTTTGTTTTGTTTCCCCTTTCTTAAATCTTCTCTCAGAGGTGCCAACAACACCACTTACTGGCTTGGCTCCAGCTAGTGGCCAGTTCCTTTGGAGACAGCTGAAATTAGCCCTTATCTAACACGGGGCAGCTTCTGGATTCTTCTCACAGACGGTCACCCCTGTGGCCCCCTACTACTAAAACCTTGCCACATAAATTCAATACACTACCTCTATTTGATATGTTGGTATCTATGTTGTGTTTTGAACTCAGAAATATTATGAGGTTTATATTTATTATATAAAATATTATGAATTTTTCTCTTTACAGTCTATATTCATGCAAGAGCTCGGTGTTACCTGTTTAACCATCTATTAATAGATCACTACAGGCCCACATTTTTAACCTTAAAATATTTGGTCGACATGTCAGTTCCATGTTCCAATAAAGAGATTAAAACCTCATTTTTTCTGTAAGAGAAAACTGAAATTGAAACATGTATTCTATATCACTTACATTGTTTACTTATGTTGTCACTACTACCTCTGCTGCTAGTACAAATTCCACTTCATTGTATGCTACCATCTATTTCTGGATTACCCTCTGATTTTGCTGTCTGATGGTTTTGTCAAGGCTACCCTGAGTGATCAAGCACCTCTGGTCTTGTACATGTAATGTTCTGGCTCTTCTAGTTTCTCTGTTGCAAACATAATGTTTATTAATTCCTCTCTTCAAAATTACACTAAGACCTTAAGCATTTGCTCCACAAGGTTTGTTTCAACCACTAATGTCATCATGAACAAATTTTATATCCATTTTATCACTCCCACATTACAGTTGTTTATCAGGTCACACTTTCAAACAGCTGTCTCTACCATGTATTCCAACTTAACTTCTAGCTGTGCTTAACTACACGATTTCTCTCTCTCTCTCTTTCTCAGTTCCTGTGGCCTTTATTTATCTTAGCCCCTGCTATGCCAGGTGTTCTCCCCACATTAGTTCCAGACCTTCTAGGCATACATGTTTCTGTGTCCCCATCATCCTTTCAGGAGGAGAAATAAAAAGGAAAAAAAAAAAAAAAAAGCAATTTCCATGCAAGCCTTTGTACCCTATTTTATCTTAGCCCTACAGGCAAGCAGACTTCTAACATAGCTTTAGGAGCTTCTTGCATGCACCTTCTCTCAAGAACTTCTCCTGCTCCCTCAGCAGTGAACCCAAGCCCAAGATAAGCCTGCCTGCTTTGTTCACTCCTGATTTCCCCCACTGTGTATTTTCTTTCACGCTTCTTTTCTTCTTGTACCAATTTTACTTCTAATTTTAATCCACTGTCTCAAACCCACCAACAAATTTCACACACTTCAGATTAATTCATTAGTATCTGTGCAAGCATACTAACATAAATTTATCTTAAAACATCAGAACTGTCTACATAATAGAAACCTTAGTCATTTATGAGTTCTAATACAGCATTTATTATCACATCATTCATGAGGTTTATCTTGACAGAAAAAAAGAACTGAAGTAATGACCATACATCATTGTAAATTGCTGTGGTTTGGTAGAGCTAGATTTTATAAGTATCATGAAGTACACGTGGAAACAGAAGATTCTGGCAGAATATGGCAATATTTCAAGTGCATAAAAGATGATTAGCAAATTGCACTGCCAGTTGTGTTCAGTTGCCACTGAGCAACTTAGTTTATTTCAGGCAGTGGGTTTTAGGTCAGATATCAGAGCACAGAAGACAATGGGACCAGCTATTTCTATTTCTTTGTATATTGAATCACTCTCATTGTTGTTCTGGGATCAGTGTAGAAATATTCCTCCATGGACTTTTCTTCTGCAGAGATCAAAGTCCATCCCTTCTTTCCTAAACATGCTCACAGACAGCTCTTTTCCATTGCCTGACAAAAGCCATCACTGGCACCAGTGCCAAGCATTTGTGAGTAATCCTGTCTGCAGATACCCAATGTACAAATTCATACTTCTGCTTTTTATAAACACTGCTTCAGCTACACCATATGAGCACAAGAAATTAGTTTCAGTGTAAGAGTGGGTGTTGTTCAGTTGGGCATACATTCACCAAATTTTTTGAAGATTAGATTTAACTTCATCTTTACTTTTCTAACATTTTTCTTGAGGAGCGTGGTGGACAGAGGGAAGACAGAGTGGGGACAAATTGTTCTCAACCTACAATTAGGACCCACAGGAAAAAAATAGGCTGTCCTATGTAACTTAATATTTGCTTCCCACAAATAAATTCAAATGCACTGGAAAGATGCAGATGACATGCCACTTTCATTCATCTTAAGGTGTCAAGTCAGACAACTCCATGCCTGCTGATGAAACTTTTATCTCACAAACAGCCTCTCTATTATTTCTTGAATGTCTTAGTCTGATTTATTTTTTAATGCAGATTCTTCTTGGGTGTCTTTTGTTCGTTTGTGGGCTTTTTTATCACAGCCTACCCTTAGTGTGAATAGTTTCTACAGAAACTGTAGTTTCTACAGAATGCCTTCTTCTTGCAATCTTTATACGTACGCTTTCTTTGCAAAGGTCTAAAGCAATTCTGGGTGCTTTAGTAAAAGTAGCAAGCAAGACTCCAGTCTCAAAAAGCTTTCAACTTCATAGGACAGATGATAAAATGAAAAATTGTACTGGCAATAAGACCGAACTGACTAGGGAAAGACCACAGCAAAAGCATTGCCATTTCAGTAAAGTACCTAGTTACATACTTATCTGTGAGCATAAGCTCCAGTGTTTTGACACACATGTTGTTCAGCTATTCAGTTCAGACATGCAACTTTTAGACACTAGCATGGATCCTTTACTAAGCAGTCACAGAAATTTTAAAGGGTTTTGGAGAATTCTCTTCACCAAGAGAACTGGTGATAGAAATTGAGTGTAAACACTGATCCCTTGATTTCTCTCATCTAATTTCAATTTTGCAATGCTGGAGTTTAATAATATGTCTGTCTAGATTTCTCTGTAACAGGTGAGAGAGAGGGGCAGTTCAGAGGGAAATTCATCATATTGTAAGGCCGCATGTGCAGAGATTGTTTAAATGAATCACCTTTTAGAGCTTATAGGCTCTCTGCTGATTTTAAAAAAAAAGCTCAGAAGATATCTAACTTTTCACAGCTAAAGTAATCCTTTATGTATGACTCATATGATACATGCACATCTTCTAGAACCTAAGGAAAGTACACTGACACCTGTCCTGAAACTTCATTCTGTCTATCCCCACACAATTCACTAGAAGTTTTTCTGCTAATAGCCTCAACTCTAGTTAGAAATAATAGGAAAAGAACAAACATTCTCAAAAGCTATTTGCATATACAAATTAACAGTACAAATTTTTCTTTCAAGACTTGCACACAAAGGACATTATTATTCTTATTGAATGATGGTGCTGTGGGTTAATATTTGCTATAACTATATGTGTTAGTTTTCATTCACGTGGTGTCAAATTGTTACTCCTTGTAATGCTCTAAGTGATGGGCACTGTGAAAGTGTGCTGCTCCTTGAATGAGTGCACAAGGCACACGAAGGGCACATCACCTGAATGATCTGATGATATCAAGGTCCACCTCCTGCCTGGGTCCCATTGGCTCTGGGAGAGCTTCTGAGGATATTCCCATCAACTGTAAACAGAACAAGGTCATGTACAGGGTATGCAAAGCAGAGGAATCCTTGCACAAAGAATACAGTCCCTCTTTAGGTTTTAGAAAAACAGATTGCTTTTAAATGATGAAATAGCAAAATCTTGGCTAATGAAAGAAAAATAGAGTAATGTAGGAATATGAGATACAAGGCACAGAGACACTTGCAAAGAATGAGGTGTCAGGCCTGGTATTACAAGGACAATACAGAGGGCAAGTAGAAAGACATGACAATAGACAAGTGTAAGCCATAAGGGTGTTTTTAGATACCAGAATGTAGAAGCTAATCAAAGGTTTTTTCTTACCAGAGCAGACTTCAGCCCTGCCTAGTCTATTGTGCTACAGCTGTCAGTGCCCAGCTGTAAGATGATTAAGTCCTTTATAATTTTAGCCACTGTGCACTTTTTTTTTTTTTTGACAGAAGGTAAAATTTCTTCCTGACCATTGCTGGTACTATAATCAGTTTATGTCCTCAAACTTATGATTTGATTATACTTATTATCTTGGCTTTCGTAGCTATAAAAATGTTATTAGTGATCATAAAAGTATCTGCCCCTTTTTACTCAAGTCAAATTATTTTACTTGGCTACCTCCTGTGGCAATGTAGTAAGCAGGTCAAATATATAGTGCATATCCAAGCTTGTGCAAAACTTTATGGTCCACAAATGAGGCTTAAAATTTTACAAATCTCATGAGAGCAAGGCTTCCAGTGATTTGATAAGCAGTTCCTGCTCATTTGAGGATTATTAAGGTAGTGCAAGAATGTTTCATGATGCTGTAGTTATTTCACTGTCAGGTTTAGGTGAAACCTTGAGATACTGAGGTAGGTCATGTGTTTGTTTAAACTACTGGAGGGTAAATCGCCCCACCCCCCCAAAAAAAATCAAACTATCCTCAAGCAACTTTGATAACACTCTTCATTTTACAAGCCTGCAGATATAAAGGCATGTTGTAGTTGTGGGCAAACGCTGCTCCTGACAATGCATGGGGTGAACTCACTGACTTGGGCCACTGTGGGTGTCAGATTAGGCACCCCAAACCTGAATTTCACTGGCACTTGCAGCCCTCCTCGCTATAGAAATTTCTGCAGAGCTACAGGAAGTGTCTCCCATTTGGACTGAGAAAAAAAATAAAACCTGACAGAGGAACTGAAATATCAAAACAAGACTTCTATGGGGCGACTGAGAAGGTATCCTCCTGGCATGCCCGAGCCCCAGCTGAGGCTGCACAGGGGCTGGCAGGGAAGGGTTAAACAAAGCGACAGAGGAGAATTAATGGTCAGTGTCAGAAGCATCCAAGAGGCCAACACCCCGCTGGGCATAAACTTGACCTTGCACCAACCCCGGCTGCTGTTGAGCCCTGGGAGTCACGGCCGGGTCTGAGGCGAAGTAAGGCGACCCGGGGGCGCCAAGCTGCTGTGGCAGTGACCTCCGGCTATGATGGATCGACCGGCATCTCTGCACGCTCCACTAGGGCTGTGGTCGCCGGTGAAAGATGTATTGATTACACATTAGTCTGTGAGGACAGGCTGGCATCGCTGGCTCCGGAGCAACACAGACCTACTCTCACACGTTATTAGGTTTGGCATAACTTTAAGAGGACACAAAAGATGGTTTTATTTTACCTGGCAGCCATGACATTCACTGATATAAAGGATATAATCACAGAAACTGAGTAAGATATTAATGTGGAATTTTGTACAATAACTCTGGGAGCTCCAGGCTGGAAATATATACGCTGCTTTCTAACATGTCACCATTTAATTTAGCATCTGAAACACTCTATCCATGCATATTTTCTCAATTTCTGTCAGCTGAAACTCTGAAATAAGGGAATTAAAAAATTCTGAGTACAGTGACCAAAAATACCAGAAAGAAACAAGATTTTTAACTGCTAGTTAACTTTGCCTTATGTTTATGCAAAACAAGAGGGTTTTTTGAATTAAAAAAAAAAATGCATGGACAAAAGGAGCTTAATTATCCCTTTTCTGTAATGTTTATTGTGACTCTGCTTTATTTACATATTTCCTTTCAATTATGAAGCCATTAGTTAAGAAAAACTTGTTAAGCATCTACAGAATTGAATGTGGGTGAATGTTAACAATGACAGTCTTCTGCATACTTGCTGAGTTCCAGAAAAAAAAAAAAATGTGGGTTTGGAAATAAAATATATGATCTCTGTTCCAAATCATAACTCCCTTGGCATCAATTTAGGTCTTAATATCAGCCTGAACTCCTACATGATTTTAGAGAAACACCATTTAGGTGAAAAATCATTTAAGAAATTGCCATCATTATTTCAGAATAGCAACAAACATCATTCATGCTGTTTACTTTATCACTCAGTTCTCTGTGCGGCTTGTCAGTGCTGGCCAAGGCAAGGAAAACATTTAGTTAAAGAAAGAGAAAAGTCAATTTTTGAAACTTTGTAAAGGCACGCAAACAGCACAGATGCCTGTAGAGCTTCTGGTCGTGGCTGGTCAAACTGTGGCTCTTGGGCTGCACCCACCTGTGAGAGGTTGGAATGCATGTCCTGTGCCTCCATAGCACCACACTCAACAGCCCACTGCTCTAGCCAGGGCAGAACAACATGTGTGCCCCGCCTTGTCTCACCTTAAAAACACCTTCCCACAGCTAGAAGCTGGTTCCTGAGCTTACTGTGCTGGGAGACACAGATCTGGCTCCCAGCCATATGGGAAGTTTGGACTGCAGCCACCAGGGTCAGATCAGGCACCCTCAAATAAAGATCCTTACAGGGCACAGAATGAGCAAGGGTATCTTTTCTGCAGCTGATTTTTGTTCTGTTTTTCATGTGATATGATATGCAGGAACCATTTAGAGGAGGGCAAAATAATGCAAGTTAGATAAAAAGTATTCTGATCAGATTCTGCTCAACCTTACAGTCATTCACAGTGATTTAGTGAAAACAGCAAATAAAGAACCAGATTTGCAGAAAGTTTGAATTATAGCTAATTGTGTTAAGTTAATTTTGGTCTTATTGAGCCTGTAGCACATTTTATTGATTGTAAACAGAGTAAATTTAAAAGCTAAACCATAAAAGCCTCAAGTCTACAGAAAGAAACATGATATGTATGCTTACTAGCAGCATATCACTCATTCTAATTAAAACAAAAATACTGTGCTAATGACACAGGGGCCTGAGATGGTATTGTTCAGAGATGGTGAGATGTTTGCTTTTGGCTGAATAACACATCTGAACTACATCATCAGCAAATGCTAAGAGAAATCTGGATTTGCTGGAAGGAGCATCCAGTTGTGTCTCATAAGGATCTAAGTCACAATAGCATTAGCATGAAGGAAAGGCTCCCCACACTCTGATCCTTCTCAGTGTGGGAGATAATAACTGTAGCCTGTTCTTGAATAAGAAATCTCATGATTGACTCCAAGTTTCCTACATGTTTCAAAGCAACGATTCACTTAAAGGTTATTATTTATTCAAAACCCATTTTTGTTTTGTGCTTATGACATAACTCTAACACTACAAGGAGAAAGCTCATCTTCATCCTGATGATAACTTTTGCAGAGACTAAACTTGTGGGAACCCATCAATTTCAATAGGTAACCCAATCGGCACTGAATCTGATCATATGGAGTACATAGAGATGACAATTATATGACTGAGAATGAGCTAATCACATTCAGACTGCAACAGATAAACTGGCCTAATGGATCACAGGCTGATTTGAGAGCTATTGATAACATTGAGCATGCTACACTGTGCAAAATAAAAGGAAAGTAGGAATCACTTCTCCCAGTACATACAATAACTTTAATCCTTGTAAATAGACACATTAAAGTGTTATCAACCACTTCTATTTAGGGCATTATATACCACATAAGTGGAATATATGCCAAAATTTCAAAAATAATAACAATGTCTGGCGACACTAATTTTTAATTTAAAAAATAATAATCAAAATGGCTCGCAACAAAAAAAAAAAAGGGACTTATGCAAACATGGAAACTGACAATGTGTTTTGTATAATATCTGGTTATGCACTAAACTTTTGTTTCATTCTTGTGTTGTGATCTACCACCTTGTTTCAGACAAATGGCACAAAAAATCTCATCTACTGGTGGAAATGTTATTTTTCTGAGACAAAGGAAAAGTTCCTCTTCTGAGGTCCAAGATTGTTGTACCACACACACAGCAACAATCTACCTAGGTCATTTCTCTTGTTGGTGGGAGAATGGAACATATTTGTGAATGCTTGCACTGAAGCAAAACAAATTGAAATGATACTGCAGCGATCAAGCTAACAGCACCACAAAACTCAGATTTCAATGGAAGTTTCCCCTTGTAAAAATGGGAAACACATATGAAAGGCATAATATAAATGAGAACCTCCCCCAGCCTCCAAAAAGTAAATATACTACAGCAAGCAATAACAAACCAAGCCGATGTCTATCCCTCAATTCTACTGGAGCTCCAAAACAGGAAAAATAGTTCTATGTAAATTTCTCTGTGTGAATCAGAAACCATGCTAAAAATTGCCAATGTACAGAAATCAGCAAGCAGGGACTGACTTCAGTGTTCACACTGAGCCATGCTGAGAAGCACACAGTCTAACCCTGCACAACAGAGAAATTTCCCAGGTAGTATTTCCTGTTGTCTCACACATGGGACACGTGCAGGGTACCCATCTGAACATAAAATAGAAAATAAAATAAAATAAAATAAAATAAACACAACGTGATCAATCCTAGCAAGCCAGTCTGAGCTCAAGAAAAATGAGGAAAAGATGCCTAGGGAAATTTGCATGTCCAACTACCAGATGCACTGAGCTGAAAATGAAATTCCCAGTGGAATTCTGCAAAGGCAAGCAAAGTGTGACCCATCTGCCCCCAGTTTGCAAGCATGACTTTGACCTGAATCAGAGCTGGTTAGATCTTTCTGCTGTCTGTATTTTTATAATGTTTTAAAGAAAACTCCTCAAGGCCTTAGATGTCAACAAACAGTCC